GTCGATGGCCTCGGGAAGTATCGGCTTACGGGGAAGATATTAAATATCACTTGACTTGACTATTCAAATTATTACAAATTCCGCAGAAAAATTCCGATTACAATATTCCATTATTAGCATATGTTTGATTTGATTAGTTTTTTAATTGTTCATAAGTTTTTGTAGATTATCCAGCAGTTATTGCACAGCTTTTCTACATATATCACAATCTTTTTCAATATAAAAGTTATCCTAAAGAAGTGTCCTTCAGTCCGCTTAATACGAATCCTTCTCAATGACAAATAGTAAGCTATTCTCGGAAATTTGACATTCCCAGAGCGTCTGCAGGGGCCAACCACATGTCACTTTCATCTAAAAGCATTCAGCCAAAGTCCAAGGCAATGAACCATTAAATAATTGCTAATGCATTCACATCAAATTTATAGCTCCTGCCACTGCGAAAATGCGGAAAATGTGAGAGAAAGGCCGCCAAAATGTCATAATCTGCGACATATGCCGAGCGAAGCCCGGGGAGAATGCTGCGTGGCCGCAGAAAATAACAAATGACAGCGGAAACTGACAATTGACGCCAGCCAGGTCGAAAGAACAAAGTCAGAAAAGTAATAAAAAAAGAAGGTACCAAAACACATAAAAAGGACAATGCCTTTGAAAAATGACAGCCCGACAATATAGGACTGTCTGATGATGGCGCCCCAAGGCGACCTTCAGAGCCATCTTCCTCTCGTCGCCGCCTCTGCTGGAAGTCAATTACATAATTACTTTCGGGCAATTTCCCAGGAAAAGAAAGAAGCCAGGACCAGCTACCTGAAACGGGGCTCGAGTCCTTTAGGCCGGGGTGTCCGTTTTGTCTTAGCCACTCAGTCGCACACATGTGCCCGGGACTGTGTGCGGTCCCTGTCCGTTGATAGCCACACATTGTGGCTTCCCCATTCGGTAGCGGTCGCAACCGCAATTCTCTCCCGCCTAATGATGCCTAATGTGAACCTTTTTCTCAATGGTTAAATTTATACGACCCAAGGAACTGAAAATTTGTCTCTCAGACGATTACGGCCCAAGTCGTGTTTCTTTTTATCTACTTTGTTCCCATAATGCAACCTGTGGAAAAACGACTACAGGTGTAGACTTATGCCAGGTCAAGTTAGATAATTTGGGCATGAAAACAAGCTTGCCATTGGAAGATCTTTGTCGGTCCTTCATGAGCCTATATTTAAGTTTATTGGTAACAGAAATTATAAATTTATTTCGCTAAAAAAATTGCTTCACAAAGAAAATGCCATGGCTAAAAAGTAAATAATAGCACTCCCCAATTCATAGTCTACACTTCTGCAACAATTATTTTAATCTTTTTAGCTTCCAACCCTTACGATCTATTTTTATTTAAAATTTTCACTTTATTTGGCCACAAAATGTTCAACTTTTAGGGCCACAAGTTGTCACCATTTGGTTTTTCGGAAAAGTCATAAAATCATTTGAATAAACAAACCGTGCTGCAGAAGTGCATAAGGGGAGCTAGGGGGAACTGGTTACTGGGAACTGGAAACTGAAAACTGAGAACTGGGATCTGAGAGCGGGGAAGCTGCGGGGTCCATGGCCATAGTTAAGCGCCAGTTTTTCGCGACCCTTTTCAGACTTTTCCACTGCCGGTCACTTTTGTACTTATATACGGCTTTTATGTTATTGGCCAGGCTCAGTTGGTGGCCGGCAGGACCCTTGGTACGCCTCTGGGCGGGTGCACTGCAACAACGTGCAGTGCATATAAAATTTGAATTAAAATTACTTTGATTACAAATTGGTTGTCGCCGTTGGCCAGGCGACAAAAAACGCATTCAGCAAATCCCCGGCTCGTTTTTCAGCTCGTTTTTGATCGAGAAAAACGTATTTTCCGCCATTTTCAGTCGCATGCAGCGTATTAAAAAAGGTATTTATGCGTAAAATATTGTATTTTTAAGGATTATTGATTTTATTTGACCACCGGGGAGTGCAGATTGGCTGCGTTTCGTCCCGTGTTTTTACATTTGTTTGGGCGGCGCGCAATTCAAAGTGCTGCAGTTTTGAAAAAACATAGACACAAGTGTTGGAAAAATAATAAAATATGTGTACTATTTAATTATGCAAAATGTCGGGGAAATCTTGTCACAACAAAGCTTAGTGAAGTGAGGTTGCTAAAAGTGCCAGCCAAAACAAATATCCGCCTGTGGACTTTACAAATAGTCTATTGTGTTCCATTAAAAACTGTATGTGGTTAATGGATTTGACTTAAAGGACTTTAAATAATCTTTAATAATTTAGTAAACTGATTTTTTCTTATAATTTTCTGGGTTATAATTGCAATACTGCAGAATTAACTAATAATAATACGAAACCAACCAAACATAAACATCTGTTTAAATTTAAAGTTGAGAAAATATTAAAAATAATATTTTAATTGCTTTGCAGTTTATAACCTTTAATGAACACGAATTTATTTTGAACATACATACTAAAACTGTAAAGACAGTGCTTAACTTCACATACTCAAGATATCCGAAAATGTAAAATGTTCTTAGAAATTTGATTCGCATAATTAAGAGGAGATAACTAAAATGTATTTATTGCCTTCCTACTCGGCATAGAACTGCTTGCACTTGGAATGCAAACTAATCTCTCTCTCATTCTCTAATGTTGCAATTTAACATATCGACCCAGCATATTTGAGCTTTAACTTTAAACATATTTGCCGATTTCGTCAATAGTTCGCAACCCTTTGCCAAACGCCCGCATGCAGGCCGCAAAACCAAGCGATGCAATTTTCAATGCATAATTCATTTGCCAACAAATTGATTGGAATGTTTATGCGCTTTCGTAGCATTTCAATTTACGCAGCAACAAATTTGAATTACCTACCAGCCCTATACCCTCCTAGCCCCCTTAAAAGCATCGAAATAACTCCCCGCTGATGGAAAAACAAATGAAATGCAATGCGAAGTGGTTATTGGAAACAAAGCAATGCAAAATTGAAAAGTCCTGCCCACAAACGCGCAGCCAGGACGAGGAACTCGCGTCGTTGCGTTTGTCTCCATAATTTACCACAATGCTGCAGCATTCGAAAGCAATTTAAAGCGTTGAGCCGCCGAAAAACTGCGATTCCGGCCACGCCCTTGCAAACTCCGCCGGAAGATCGGCAAAAGTCACCGGAACAAACCGCAACAGACCACTTTCCCACGCAGGAAAACCCTCTGATGAGCATCATTGAAATCACATTTTGGCCCAGGGTTTGTACTCCTAGCAATTTGCGTGTTCCCATCGTTAAAATTCAAACTCTGAAAGTAATTGCAATTGCACTTGGCCACGTGCGGGGTGCAAATTGCACGGAGCTTCTGATTGAGACATATCGGTTTCACGGCACTCTACTTCGCATTACAGGGTGGGTTAAGGTCTCGATCGGGAAACAGGATTCCCAATATGTCCCCTGCGGCCTTATGAGTTATGTCCTGACTGCTGCGTAAAATGATTTCATTGGACAATGCCAAGTGACGCAGCGAGTTCCGTTCCCCTGCCAGTCGAGTTTCACAGTTTTTTTTGTTGTGTTTTTTTATGTCAGCCACTTGAAAAGGTATTCCGGGAAATTGTTTACAGAGGATCGCACAGATCGGCAAGATACGTTTTTCTCCTCCTTTGTTATTCCAAATTTAATTAAACAAACTGCCAACATCAGTGAGAACCTTCTTACCAAGCCGGGGGTTAGAACTGGTTTCGGGGCTGAAATTAGATTGAATGCACGGATTGTTTATGCCTGAGGTGCCACTGAAGTGGTACATTATGCAATTAAATGGCTAAGAGTAGATAAATATTTAACAAAGTAAATTAAGGCAAAGGAAATAAGGCATTTTGAGAGCGGTTAGGTAGCAGTCAGGCTTTTGTATGATATACACTCCTTTTAAAAATTCAAAATTGAATGGGTTACCCTTTTCATTATTGTCTTCTAGTGAAGCCAAGAATAATACATCAAAAAGAATAATGTTTAATTAATTAAATGTTGTCTGGAAAAATCATTACTGTCGTTAATTTTTATTTCCTATCGGGATATTGTTTTTATTCTAATATATAGAAACTGTTTTTGGAAAAATGTACTCATTTAGTCAAAGAGCGAAAGATAATAAACTTTTCTAAGAATGTTTTGTTGAACATTTCGATTTTTGGTTTGACTACATTTTATCATGAAATAGAAAACATTTTTTAGCATACACCGACAATCAAAAGTCGGATGAATGATTGATATCCAGCTTGATTTGTTTTACACTCGATTTTAACTACTTTTAGATTATCAAACAATTCTCTACTGTTTCTTCAGACTCAATGAAATTCCTCGAATTCTCACCCGGCGAGAATCTGCGAAACAATATTAATTAGTTAAGACCACCCGCGACTTTGAGCGAATACTTTCCCTGCTAACTCTTGCCTCCCGCTGCCAGTTTCTCAATTGGCATTTCCATATACACCTCCGCTGCTCTCCGTCGCAAAACGGGAAAACACAAAACAATGCCGAGATTTCTGAAATACTTTTTTGTTGTTCGGTGTTTGGTGTTCAGTGTTTGGTGCTCGGTGCTTGGAGCTTGGAGCTTGGCGCCCGTCGACCACGTTATGTGGGGCTCTGCAGTGAAGTGGAGTTAGTAGTTCGCCGCATGCCTTTTACGTTTGCTATTTCAATTGAAATTTGCTTATTGCAAAATGTTGTTCAGATCCTGGCAGAGCCAACTTTGAAGAATTTCTAGTGCATTGCAAATTGGCATTGGAGTGAAAACCCAGACTACAATGAGACGGCGGTGCTCAGATGTATGCTGCGAATTTTTGTAATAAAGTTGGCAACTATGTGGACAGGAAAGTGCCGGAGGCATACCGCCGTAGTAAATAAAGATATATAAATACAAAATGGCACAAGTTGTCTGAAAGCACAACAAGATCGATTTTATTGCGGCAAAAAGCGAGAGTAATAATTTAGTAAAATAAAAATTAACACACCATTGAATTAAATTATCAAATTTAATTTGTTCATTCACTGCTTCTTTGCCTTTGGCTTACTTTTTGACTTTTTAGAACAGAGTTTTTTAATCAGAAGCCGACAAACCAGTTTTAAAGTATAGTAAACAACAGCAATCACCAAAACTAACAGAGCATAGATATCCAAGTTATTGGCGGCTATATAGCTCATGTGCACCACCGGACTCTGCAGGTGCGGAGCTCCATGGTGACGGATTACGTACTCCACCCAGTATATTAAAGTTTCACGGGCGCTCATTGGCCGATCACGGTAAAGGGTCGAGAAGGATTTCACCGCGTTTGCGTACTTTGGATTCTCAAGGACCTCTCTGATGCCCTCGTGGAAGGACTTCTCCTCAAGGGTAAGCAGACTCTGTGTCAGGCCGAATCCTTGCTCCACTACGGCAGCGGCATTGCTGGGCTGATCCCCGAAAACGGGAAGTGCCAGCATTGGAATGCCGTGGTACTGAGCCTCGGTCACTCCACCCTTGCCCGCATGTGTGATGAAGAGCTTGATGTTCGGGTGGGCCAGGATGTCGTCCTGGGGCAGCCACTTGGCGTAGAGAATATTTTCCGATGTGCCCGGAGTGCTCTCCAGATCATCCCACTTCCAGATGACCTTCAGCTTCAGTTTCGATAAGACATTGAAAATCTTTTGTATTGTTTCGGGCGGTAGGTGATCTTTCTTTACGTTCGTGCCGAGACTAAAGAGAATAGCTCCGTGTGGAGCGTTGCTCAGGAAGTCCGCAATGTTCTGGGGCAGAGGATCAGGACGATCCTTGACCTGAATGCCACCCACCTCGATCACCGCCGGCACATTGGGCCTGATGGGTCCCTCGCTGATTCCATGTGAACCGAAGAAAATGAGGGAAATATTCTTGTTCAGGTCACTGTAGGCCGGCAGAGTAGGATCATCTCCATAGATTTCCCTATAGAAAGTTTGGGAAATTAATATTACATTCTGATATACATTAAATATTCTTTTCATACCTATATGTCTTTGCATTGTCATACTCATTTATGGCCATGAAAAGGCGTTGGGCCCAGTTGCTAAGAATATTGATCACACGCTTCCCAATGCCCATAGGAACTTCCTGGGATGCGTGCATCGACGGCACGTAGGAGACTTCCCAGGGGTTGCCAATTATGTCCCCGATGAATGTTGGGGGATTGGAGACGGCCACCACCAGAGGCACCTTTAGCTTGTGGGCCAAGGCCAGCTGGAAACTGTTCATAAAGTATCCCACGATCACTAGGTCGAATTTATTATCCGGATGCTCATAGAGATCCTTGACCACTTGGTGCTTCATCACCGCTCCCATTTTGGAGAACGCCTCACTCAGTTTCTGCGCCGATCGTAACATGGTTAAGTAGACATTGCTATTGTTCGTGTTGGCTAAGCTGGCTATGACAGTGTTGAAGGATTGCAAATCCTCTTTGTTGAGCGGCACTTGGATGTGGGAAATGTTCTTGTGCATTAGCGGAGGCTTCAAGGCAGTCACTACCGTTACGTTGTGGCCTCTCTCGGCCAAGATCCGGGCCATTGACATCTGGATTACCAAGTGGGAAGGACTTAGGCTGGCGAACAGCCCGAGAATGTTCGATCCCTGGACTCCGGCTATCACAGCCAGAATAAGGAGAGAAAATTCAATCGTTTTTCCCGCCATCTGATCGCTCTGGCTTCTGAAAGTAAACTGATTCGTTTGGCCTCGCAATAAACGGCTCTTAAAAAGCGATAAGCTTTATCAACGAGTTTTGACTAAGGTTATCTGCCTTTCAAAAGGTGTAACCTGTTTTGACTCCCGCATCTGTCTACGATTTTTAACAATTTAATGCTGTATCAGCGGTGACAGTGCACTCAAGCGTAGCCAAAGAATTGCTTTGATAAGGCTTATCAGCCATTAACTTGAGGAACCTTAAAAACCGAGACAAACCAGAAGCAAAAATATTCTTCGCAAAACAATTCCCACGCCTATCTGTCATTCAGTAGAGTAAGCATGTTGGCACAAGTTTGTTTTCCTTTACTTATATACAAATGAGATTAGCTCGGTTTTTACTTCAATTAAAATAATTTTTTCTGGGTTACTAAGCACACTTTCTTATCAATTTCAAATATTATTTTTGTACATCAATTAAGTGTTAAGCGAATATTTACAGACTTTCATTGAATATTATCCTTATTGACCTAGGAGGACAAAGAGGAAGTTAAAAGCAACGATTGTATAAATATATTTCATAGCATATGACTATTTGAGATGCTTTACTTGGAGCATCAAAATAATTCCGATTAGAAAATCAATCCACCCAAATGTATTGATAATCCAAAATACATAATCCAAAAATTGTGACGTAGTAATAAATACAATTTATTTATTTTTTTCCTATATAATAATAGAGTATTTGCTTAACATAGGTTGAACAAAGGGCTTTATTGTGTCTTTTGCTTTTTGGCCGCCTTGGACTTTGACACAAACTTCCTATAAAGGCATTTAACTAGCGCCTTAAAAAGCAGTAAGACAATAACTAGTATAACAGCGATTAGAGCATATAAATCCAAGTTGTAGGCAGCTATGCAGTTCATGTGAACCAGTGGACTCTGAAGGTGGACAGCTCCATGATGACGAATCACGTACTCCGACCAGTAGACCACCAGCTCCCTTGAGGACATGGGACGATCCCGGTAGAGGGAGGAAAACGTAGACACCTTCTTGGCGTACTGTGGGTTTGTCAAAACCTCCTGAATGGCTTCGAGGAAAGGCTGCTCCTCCAGTGTAAGGAGACTCTGGGTGAGTCCAAAGCCCTTCTTGACCATTGCCTCGGCATTTCCTGGCTGGTCTCCAAAAACGGGCAACGAGAGCATCGGCTTGCCATGGTACTGGGCCTCAGTAATACCACCTTTTCCGGCATGATTGATGAAGAGTTTGATCTTCGGGTGGGCGAGGATGTCGTCCTGCGGCAGCCACTTGGAGTACAGGATGTTCTCCGACTGACCCGGTGTCTGCTCCAGGTCTTCCCACTTCCAGATGACTCTTTGCTTCAGTTTTGAGAGAACGTTGAACATCTTGGTCACCGTGTCTGGTCTGATATGGCTGCCCTTCACATTGGAGCCCAGACTTAGGAGAATGGCTCCATCCGTGGCATTGCCGAGGAAGTCGGCCATATTCTGCGGAAGGGGATCCGGCTTGTCCTTAACCTGGATGCCTCCAATTTCGATAGCTGCAGGGACATTGGGTCGGATCGGTCCCTCACTGAGCGCATGAGAGGCAAAGAACACCATGGATGTATTTTTTACCATTTCCGAGAGCTCGGGAATATTGGGGTCATCGGCAAAGAGATCCCTATAAAAAAGAATCCGCATTAATCAACATCTACCAAATTTCCACGTCTTGGAGACTACTTACTTGTACAAATTCTGATTTCGTTTATAAAATAAGTGTGATAGTACTCTGAAGGAGAGACTGGCAAATAAGCTGCGCAAACGCTGACGAAAACTCATGCCCGTTGCTTTCTCCAAGGAGTCGTCCATGGAAGGCACATAGGAGACCTCCAGAGGATTTCCGATCAATGGGTTCACCATCTGATTTGGGGGCATAGTGGCAACAATGATGAACGGTGCATTTACCTTTCCTGCAAATCCAAGCTGGAAGTCGTTCATAAAGTAGCCCGAGAGAACCAGATCGAACTTATTGTTCTTATTTAGATACAGATCTTTAACCCGTTCGTGTTTTAGAGCCTCTGCCATCTTCTTGAACATGAAGTCCATCTGTCCCGACATACGCAGCATGGATACCACCATGTTGCTATTATCGTTTTTAGACATCTCCTTAATGCTATCACTCTTCCGTTGCGCCTCTTCCTTGGTGAGGGGTATAGTGATCACATTAATGCTCTTGTGGGTAACCATTGGCTTCAGGACCGTGACCACCGTCACATTGTGTCCCCTCTCTGCCAGCACCTTAGCTACGGACATTTGGATGATCAAATGCGAGGGACTGAGGCTCGGGAAGAGTCCCAGAATATTTGCACTTTGGGTGCCACCGATAAGCGCGGTGATAGCCACCACCAGGAACAAAAACCGAATCGAAACCATTTTGAGCGAGTTTTAACTGCAGACTGAGGAAGATTTCTGGCAGGCAGTGCTTTAAATTCAATTGGCTTAGACGATGACTACGAGATAATTAAGTTTTAACTGATAAGCAGAAACTATGGTTCAGTTTCATGTGCTAGGTTTTGATAGTCAATTCCTTTCAGGAAAACACGTATTAGATAGCGGGCCGTATCACAATAAACGTTCTGTTAATCTGGGCTATCGATATAGATAGAATACACACTTGAAAAAATTCCTGGGGTTCAGAGACGTATAATTTTCATGGTGTTGGATTAGTTTTGGAAATGCGATCATGCTGTGCCGCAGACCTTTGAAGAAAACAGAAAAGTTTACATTATTTGCGAGGAAATTTGGTGAATCGCAAGTCGGGTTTTTGGGGGAATCTGAACTAGACTCTGAAATTAACTTCAATTTCTAAAACACACCTTTTAACTATTAAAACCATTCTTATAGATAAAGGTTACTTGGGTTTGTTTTCTTATCAATTTTGAATATAATTTTTGTACTTCACTTATCTGTTAGAAATGTAATTTAAGGTAGTAATATTGGAATGTTCCTACAACACAAGTGCGGGTTTTCTTCTTTTTGGCCTTATTGGACGTTAAAGCAATTCTTTTATATAGATAATTTGCTATTCTAGTACTTTTATAAAATAGAGATAAGAACTATCTATTAAAGGCATTGATTGTAGTTATCGAGCAATTAAGGGGCACAGTCCCTATTTTTATACCCTTGCAGGGTATTATAATTTCAGTCAGAAGTTTGCAACGCAGTGAAGGAGGCACCTCCGACCATATAAAGTATATATATTCAGGATCAACAGTCGAGTCGATCTAGCCATGTCCGTCTGTCCGTTTCTACGCAACCTAGTCTCTCAGTTTTAAAGCTATCTAAATGAAACTTTGTAGTTAGCCTTCTATATACTCTCCCTCGTATATATGTCGGAACGGGCCGGATCGGACGACTATATAATATAGGTGCCATAGGAATGATCGGAAAATGTTTACAACAAAAATTTTAACATTTTCAGTTTTCTATAGAATTAGATCAAATTTAAAATATAGCCATTTTATTAAACTCTTCAATTTTGTGTAAAATTTCATGAAAATCGGACTACTATATCATATAGTTCCCATAGGAACGATCGAGAAATTAATACAAATAAAAATTATAACTCAGTTTTCAACAGATTTTCATCAAATTTAAGGTATAGCCATTTTATATTAGTCTTAAATTTGGTGTCAAATTTCATGAAAATCGGACGATTACATCATATACATAGGTGCCATACAAACAATCGATTGATGTAGAAGGAAAATGCAAATCTGTGAATGTAAAGCTGCAAATATAATATGTATGGGTGAATGAAATGAAAGCAGGTATTACTTCATTGTTTTTTAACACAAATATATATAATTTATATGGTATGGATTCCTAGTCATAGAATTTCTATCTGCAAAGATATATAAACTTCGGCGTGCTGAAATTAGCTTCCTTTCTTGTTATATGATATATTGCATCAAAACCGAACACAATGCAAAATGTTTGTAGTACTTATTATAATTTTATAATAGTTAAGTTTGAAGTTATATTTTTTGATATGCTGCCATGGCTTAAAGATAGATTCGATTTGATTCAATAATAATTAATAATATTTCAAGAATAAACAGACATTTGCGGTTTTGATATCAGCGAATCAATCCACCCAAATATATTTAACTCTGTTAAATAATGTGATTTAATAACATAATCCAAAAATTTTTACGCAGAAATAAATACAATTTATTTTATTTTCCTTATGAAGTTAAAGAGTATTTGCTTAACATAGGTTGAACAAAGGCCTTTATTGTGTCTTTTGCTTTTTGGTCGCCTTGGACTTTGACACAAACTTCCTATAAAGGCATTTAACTAGCGCCTTAAAAAGCAGTAAGACAATAACTAGTATAACAGCGATTAGAGCATATAAATCCAAGTTGTAGGCAGCTATGCAGTTCATGTGAACCAGTGGACTCTGAAGGTGGACAGCTCCATGATGACGAATCACGTACTCCGACCAGTAGACCACCAGCTCCCTTGAGGACATGGGACGATCCCGGTAGAGGGAGGAAAACGTAGACACCTTCTTGGCGTACTGTGGGTTTGTCAAAACCTCCTGAATGGCTTCGAGGAAAGGCTGCTCCTCCAGTGTAAGGAGACTCTGGGTGAGTCCAAAGCCCTTCTTGACCATTGCCTCGGCATTTCCTGGCTGGTCTCCAAAAACGGGCAACGAGAGCATCGGCTTGCCATGGTACTGGGCCTCAGTAATACCACCTTTTCCGGCATGATTGATGAAGAGTTTGATCTTCGGGTGGGCGAGGATGTCGTCCTGCGGCAGCCACTTGGAGTACAGGATGTTCTCCGACTGACCCGGTGTCTGCTCCAGGTCTTCCCACTTCCAGATGACTCTTTGCTTCAGTTTTGAGAGAACGTTGAACATCTTGGTCACCGTGTCTGGTCTGATATGGCTGCCCTTCACATTGGAGCCCAGACTTAGGAGAATGGCTCCATCCGTGGCATTGCCGAGGAAGTCGGCCATATTCTGCGGAAGGGGATCCGGCTTGTCCTTAACCTGGATGCCTCCAATTTCGATAGCTGCAGGGACATTGGGTCGGATCGGTCCCTCACTGAGCGCATGAGAGGCAAAGAACACCATGGATGTATTTTTTACCATTTCCGAGAGCTCGGGAATATTGGGGTCATCGGCAAAGAGATCCCTATAAAAATAAAATCCGGATTTATACAAATTTAGCATATTTCCACGTGTTAGGGACTACTTACTTGTACAAATTCTCATTTCGCTTATCAAAGAAGTGTGAAAGTAATCTGAAGGAGAGACTGGCAACCAAGCTCTTTATACGTTGACGGAAAGTCATGGCCTTTCCTTTCTCCAAGGAATCATCCATGGAAGGCACATAGGAGACTTCCAGAGGATTACCGATCAATGGGTTCAACATCTGATTCGGGGGCATTGTGGCAACGATGATGAACGGTGCGTTCACTTTCCTGGCAAATCCAAGCTGGAAGTCGTTCATGAAGTAGCCCGAGAGAACCAGATCGAACTTATTGTCCTTATTTAGATACAGATCCTTAACCCGTTCGTGCTTTAGAGTCTCTGCCATCTTCTTGAACATGAAATCCATCTGTCCCGACATTCGCAGCATAGATAACACCATGTTGCTGTTGTCGTTCCTGGACATCTCCTTAATGGTGTCGCTCATTTGTTGCGCTTCTGCCTTGGTGAGGGGTATTGTGATCACGTTAATGCTCTTGTGGGTAACAACTGGCTTCAGAACCGTGACCACTGTCACATTGTGTCCTCTCTCCGCCAGCACCTTAGCCACGGACATTTGAATGATCAAATGCGAGGGACTGAGGCTAGGGAAAAGTCCCAGAATATTTGCACTTTGGGTGCCACCGATAAGCGCGACGATAGCCACCGCCAGGAACAAAACCCGAATCGAAACCATTTTGGACGAGTGTTTACTGCAGAATGCTGAAGACTGGTGGCAGGCAGTGCTTTATATTCAATTGATTTAGACGCTGACTACGAATGATTATTCAGTTTTTACTGATAATTAGGAATTATAGTTCAGTTTGTTGTGCTAGGTTCTGGCAGTCAATTTCGCAACCAATTTCGTTCTTTTCATAGAACATTTCAGGAAAAAACGTAGGAGATAGCGAGCTCCTTATCATAGTAAACGTTTTGTTAATCTGTGCTACCGATAAATATAGAGTTCACACTTGAAAAAATTTTGGTCATCAAAGACATGTATTATATTCATGGTGTTGCTTTATTTTTGGAAATGCGATCATTCTGTGCTAAAGACCTTTGATGATATCACGAAAGTTTACATTATTGGGAAAGAATTTGGCTAAATCTCAAATCGGGTTTTTGTTTATTTAGATACTTGTAACGCTGTAAAGAAGTCCTTTCCGACCCTATTAGCCATATATATTCTTGATCGGCATCAACAGCCGAGTTGATCTAGCTGTGTCACAAAGAAAACAAATTTTTTTCAAATTTTCCAAAATTTTATAAGGAATATAATTTTATAGGAAAGCTTTCCAAATTAAAATTGAAGCATTTTTGGCTTAGTTATGATACTCTTAAACTTTGATTTGCCGAAAAAGTTGTCATATAAATAATATCTATAAATATGGGTTTAAAGAATGCGAATATATTATGCTTCGTTATGTTCGATTTTCGATTAGATCTTTTAATTTAATTACAAACAGCAAGGATATATAAACTCCTGTTTTCCTTAGATAGTTTTCTTTCTTCCTTAGTCCTTAATTAATTTATTGGCAAAGATTTTAATATTTATGAATTAAAATGGTAGCACTGAGAATATAAATAAATAAATAAAATTAAATAGACCGCTTCGATCCCATTTATCTCCCGGTTCGTCCACGATGACGAATGTCCTTCGTAAAGAACCCCAGTCCTGCCCGTTCGATTTATCAACATGAATAAATCTATATTTCATTTGGCGCATACCCTTAATTCATTCGATTATCTTCCGCTTAAAACCCTTCCCTCCCGAAACCCCTCCCAGTGAGACAACGAAACTAATGGCATTCATGTGCGTGACGAAGGCGGAGGGCGTGGTCCTGAGGGGCGTGTGCACATTTTCATACGCATTTAATCGTGTGTGTCTGCCCTGCGAAAATTCTTAACGAACACTGCCACCCGCACGCACGCACTCGTGGAAATAAATATTTATCGGCATTGTGGTGTGTAGTTCACTTTGGCTCCATTTGCCGGTCAGTTGTTCGGCCATTCATTGTCCCCGCACCGAAGTCCCACTTATAAATATATATAATAATATAATAAGTAAAACTACAAGAAAATAAAATATATACACAAAACAATTTACGCAGGCAAAGTAACTTTTCATTTTGACTAAGGTTAAACCAAAGAGTATATAGAGTAAATTGTATAGTCTTTGGTTAA